AAGGAGCATCAGAGTTAGTTGCAGAACTGAGCACTCTTTATCAGTGTATCAGGTGAGCAGAAACGCTGGTCACAAGCTGCTTGTTGGCAGGAAAGTATTATTTTAGAGGGGAAGTGCTGCTAAAGGGAAGTCTCTTTGCAGGGAACTCTGTGAGAAAATCCTTGTTGTAGAAAGGGTGAAAATGTGGTCTGAAAGTAGCTTTCAAAATTGTACGTTTGACTCCTTGGCATCTCTCTCATGAGTATGTCAGCTCTGACTTCCACTCACAGCTTACCTTCTTGTGCCACAGAACATGCTTCCTTCTGCCACTGGAAAAAGATGACAGAGTGCTCTGCCTTCCTCAGTAGGCTTTCTTAGAAATAATTTGTCCGTCCTTCTCCTCTCAGAAGTATGAAATAGCAGATGTTGAATAAACTGGCTAGAAATACATTGTGCGTAAACATTGGAGCGTTCGTGAATCTCACTGCCTGCTTTTTGCGTTTTCTGTTGGGTGAGGGAGTATCCTAGAAAGAATATTCTTCCAGCCTAGCTTCCTTTTTTTCTTCTCTGGAGGTGCTGGCAAGCTTCTCAAGCTTATTCTACTACAAGTTAAATTGGGAAACTCTCAGCAATCATCAGGATATACCGAAAGATGATGTTTAAAATTTACTGTTCCCTCCCTGGATACTCTACACTAAAATGATCTCTTTTCTAGGTTTCCGGTAGTGGCAATGGGTGTATTAAAGTGGGTGGACTGGACAGTGTCAGAACCGCGATATTTTCAGCTGCAGACTGATCACACTCCGGTGCATCTGGCATTACTGGATGAGGTAAAAGCATACAGAAAATCTTGCTGAAGAGGAAAAACAGGTTTTTATGCTTGTAACTGGAATTACACCCAGTTCACTGAATGCTTGTCATTTGCTGTAATTCGGTTAAACACACGGAGATGAATCTGTTTCAGTCCAGAGTTAGTTATTTGGTTTTGTCAGCTCAGCAATATTTACACTAGGGAAACTTAGGCATCAAAGAAGGAAATGGTAGAAGACTTTCTTTAAAAATAAAAAAAAAAAATCCCTGTTTGGCACTGAACGTCAGTGCAAGCTTGTCTGATAAGAGTGGATACACTGGTTTTTAAAATGAAGAGTTTTGATGTCCTTACTTTCCCATCTTGTTTGCAGATCAGTACATGCCACCAGCTGCTTCACCCCCAAGTTCTGCAACTTCTTGTCAAGCTCTTTGAAACAGAACATTCTCAGCTTGATGTAATGGAGCAGGTGATTCTCAAAGGATTCAGTGTGTTCTTTCCTGCTTGTTAATCTCACTGAGGATAACTGCTTTTGCTGCTACAGCAGTTTTATAGAGTTTAATTTAGGAATGGTGTCATTTTTAAAAAGTAACATGACAGATACTGAATCAATAAGGACGAGCAGTATTGAAAGAGAGTTCTAATTTATGTTTTTTTTTTTCTTCCCCCCTTTTTCAGCTCGAATTGAAGAAAACTCTCTTGGATAGAATGGTGCACTTACTCAGTCGAGGATATGTCCTGCCTGTTGTCAGCTATATCCGCAAATGCCTGGAGAAGCTAGATACAGATATTTCTCTCATCAGATATTTTGTTACAGAGGTTAGCAGCCAATTTTTTGTTGATTAGCATATAGAAGTAAACTTTAACATCTGTTATATCTGTTTGGCTATTAAGTCAGCTTATCTCGGATTAAAACATATTTCAAGATATGAGATCAGATTTTGAGCAAGATATATAATATTGGTATTCACAAGACCATGACTTGATCCTACTAGATCCTGACTTACTTATAAAAGTATTGAGATACTGGGTAGACTATCACAAGAATAGACAATTGATTACTTGGACAACAGGCGCTCTTAAAACGCAACTACTTAAATGCCTTCAAGAAGGGTATTGTGCATTAGATACTGCCTCTACCACCTATCCAGCTGGCATACTAATCCAGTTTTGCCTCCTATTTCAGGTGCTGGATGTGATTGCTCCTCCCTACACCTCAGACTTCCAGCTTTTTCGTCCGATCTTGGAGAATGAAAGCATTGCAGGTACTATTAAAACGGAAGGTGAACATGATCCTGTCACTGAATTTATAGGTAAGTCATGTTTATCTGTTGCATACCCACTCCTTTATTTATTTGTTACAATTTGCAAATGTTTAGGAGAAGGATTGCTAAAAATAGGGATGCCTAGCAAATCTTTTCATAGATTATTTCTGCTTCCCTCTTAGGGGACTGTGTTTAGCAACTTTTCTTTAATCAAGAATATCTGGGTAGTAGGGAGGAACTTTGAGAGGTACTGCTTTTGGAGAACTTACTTACACTGTAGTAAGGACAGTAAAGAAAGAAAGTACTCTTTCATAATACACTCTTACCTGAGAACAAAAAGACCTATCTAAATGCCTAAAATCCTAATTAGTTACATAATGCAGAAATCTAGATGCAAACAGGTAAACTGGATTGAAATACTGAACACTGTCTTTTTTTTTTTTCTTTTAAGCTCACTGCAAATCTAACTTCATTATGATGAACTAAGCAGTGGAAAAATCAAGAAGGCAGAGCACATGATCGCTGCTTTGCCATACTCTCCACCAGTAAGGTTCTATAACTGGGCAACACAACAGCAGGAAAGAACAAGGAAGAAAGGGCTGAAGGGCATTTAATTCATTTGCACGGTAACCTTGAGCTTTATATCAGAGGACTCATAACGTACTTTGGAAAATGGAATAATAGTTCAGGATCTTCTGTTGTTACACAAATTGGTATTAAATGTGAATATTCTGAAGTGGGTAGCAGGAGAGGATTAGATTTGTTTCAAAACATGTTATTTTTGGTTAGATGTAGATTTCTTTTTTCACTGATTCTTTGTGTGTAATATACAAAACCTGAAGAATGGAAAGTAGTTCTTACTAAAACCCTTTTGCAGATAGCTCACTAAAGACTAAGTCTTGAATGCTCTATGCTTTGATCTTGTGAGTTGTATAAAGGAGTTGTTTGTGTGATTAGCTCTGTGATGGGGAGAATCCAGAATGCCTCTTTTTCACTGTTGCGTTATATTAGAATTCTAAATATCTTATATATTTACTGTTATGAAAAAAACATGTTTTATGTAACACAGCTGGAGCTGTAACAATCAAGATTAGTTTTGTATTAACAGATGAATCATATGTGAGTGTGATACCTTTCAGAATCTATTTTTTTGTTAAATAGATGAACCAAACGTTATGGTAAGTTTCATTACCGTTTCAGAAGTCTATCGATGTCCAAACACATGAATGTATGCCAAAACGTGATGGCTTCTCGATGTGGCTTGTCTTTCTGTTTCTCTACTCTATCCTGGTTGATGCTGAACAATGGGGAATAGGCCCTAGATCATAACTTTTAAATAAAGGCTTTTTCTTTCCAGAGCTCTCTTTTGAAGTTTCACAAAAATATTTTTTCTTTTTTCTTTTTTTTTTTAAGGTGAGATTTCTCTTTGTACATGTAAATACTGTTTGTATAAAAGGAAGGAGTGTAGAGAAACCCATTGTGTTTCTCTAAGCACATCTGTTTTCTAAATAACCTCCTTTCTAAAAGAAAAAGCTACTTATAAATAAGGAACGTGACATTAAGTCTAGCTAAGATGCAAGCTTAAAAGGGTCTTGCTCTCTTCTGTTGTCACTGATGCATGAATGTGACCTCTTAAGCTACTGTGCTAACTATTGAGACAGCAGCCACGTGTAAGGGCTTTTACTCCTCTTAGAAAGGAGTGCGTCTTCCTTTCTATCAGCCACTCCCTCACGTACTCCACAGTGAGGTTACTGTAGTAACACTTCGTGGCGCTCTGTTGAAACAAAGCACTTCTACTTTGCTCTGTGTTCAAGCTGAATAGGGCACTCTCTTTCTTGTAGGTCATTATGACTAGTTACAATACCAGCACTATTAAGTCCCATTGAGCATGAGATCCTTCTGCTCCCCTGATCAGTCAAGTAGAGCAAACGCTCCAGAGTGGAAAAATTAATCATTATTGGTACTTTGGGGTAATTTGGCTCTGGTAGAGCAAAGTCAAGGACTAAAAATTGAACTAAACAGCACAGTTCTCAGGATTCTCAGTTGAAATCCTGTCTTTTATCTAAACATCTGTTTTAAGCTCTTTCTTTTATGTTGGAGAGGTGAATGGTAGATGGGAGAGAGAGAACACTTAACAATTTGAATACGGCTCCTGTAGGAAGTCAAAGTGTTAGGTCCAAGTCAGCCACAAAAGACAGGCTTTGAAGTCTCCGAGCCTGCCAGAATGGGGCCTGACCTCAAGCCTAAACCATGTTCTCTTTGCAACAGTGGTTGAAGTTGTTCTGTTTGATACCTAAATAGTTAGAACCAGGAACAGAACACGTGGCACAACCACCTTGGCTTCATCCTGGACACTGGAAGTCTTACTCTTTTATGGCTCTTCACCATTCTGCCAAAGATAACTTACCTTTCTGAGGGGAATAAGCCAACTTCTCTCACATTCACAGATAAAAGATTGATCAATTGCAGAGAGTAAAAGGTAGCAAGAGATAGTTTTGGGCAAGGTCTGTTTTTTCCTCTCTGCCCCCCTAAAAAGCTTTAGCTTAGGAGTTTGAATGAGGCATGACTCAACAGGTTGGTTTGATTTACAGCAGTTACTGGAGACTGACCTTTAAAAGTAGTGTTTTACAATATCCAAACATCTCTTCTTTCCTCGCTTGTTGGAATTCAACTCAGTACACAGAGGCTTCTTTATATTTTGCATTTCAGTCTTCAGTGGAGGTGGAAGTAATGTATTTTCATTTGAATTGTTGTTTGAGATGCATGATGCTGCTGTGCAGACTATGTTGTCCATCAGCCCTTCTCCAAGATAAAGTCAAGTAAAAGGAATACCATTCTGGGTAAGCTTTGGATGGCTACTCCTCCACATGAGACTGCACGTTAGGTGCCAGCAACAGTGAGACGACAACTGTGTCTGTTAACAAGCTCTTATAATCCACATACTCATGTAGAATTAAAATGTCAGTTTATTAAACTGTTCAGTGCCAACTGTTAGGGCACTGATTGTCACTTAATAATTGGCTCAGGCTTAAGCAAGAGAACTTGCTACCTTTCCTCATATGAGTGAGCATGAAAAGAGCTCTGGCTCATGGCAGACATAATTTATACTTTGCCCCTGTAGGAGAAAAATAGTATAGCCAGTCAGATATGAAAGCAAGGAAGTAAAGCAGAGATTGGTGAATAACCCTACAGTAAGTGTTCATTTAAAAACTTTTGATCAAAAGTTGTTCTTGTTACGTCACTTCTAGTTAGGTAAAAGTGACTGTGTTACACAAGACTAACAAGCAACAATACTGTGTTTCACCAGGAGGCAAAGGAAACAACATGGAATTTAGTTTCTGAATATATCACATCCAGACATAGCTTTGCTTTTTCATCTACATCGTTGTGTAGTATTTCCTTGGTTTTGTCATGTTTTCATTGATTTTAGTATAAGCTCTAGACAGAAGAATTAAGGAGTTCATTTTTCTTACCCAATACCTCTACATAATTTGTATTAAAAAATATATATATATATACACACACAGATTTACCCGTACCGTTTCTGTGAGTAAGTTGACATGGTTTAAATATTGTGCTTCAAGGCAGATAAACTTTTTCATGGATAAATTGAACTGTATTTTTTTTTTAAAGTTATCTAAAGGCAGCTGGCCTCTGGTCTTAGCTCTGGATTTATTTTACTTCCAAGACATTGTATATTGCTCTCTGGACTAATGTTGCAGAACTGCCTGGTTAGGCTGAACTGTGAAAGAGTTTTCAACTATTCTTTAAACAAAAAGATTGTGTTGGGAAGCTTTCAAACCAAGTAGTTCCTAAATAGAAAGATGTACAAACGTAGACTCAAGGAAGTACAGCATCTCCATATGCACAGTCCTCTTCGATAGCAAGATTGTACTCTGCTCCTCTTCCTCCTTTGTATGCACTTGTCACAATTCTCAGCCACCCCCTTTCACCCTGTAAAGGAGTATTTGCATTAGTATATGCAGAGACATTGTGAATTAGAAAACGCAAGGTAACTATAGAAAATGAATGCTATTGCTTCTGTTCCGCCTGTCAAATATAGATGATTCGAAGTGAATCCAGGAATTCACTCAAGAAGTAGTCGTATAATACTGAGTTCACAGGGCACCCTTGTTTGAAGGGGCAGTTTTTGCTTCGGTGAATTTAAATCCCCTCCTTCTGTTGCAGGTACGTGACTTGATTTTTGCCTAGAGCTAACAGCAATTTACAGTTGCCTGTAAGAGGAGCTGCATGTCCATGGAAGGCCAGCATTTGGGATTGAGTTGACGTTACGCAAGTGACTTTGGCCGAGTGGCCCCGTCTTCAGCTTAGTTAGGTTTCATTTTCTAATTGCTAGTCTAGTTTCAAAAAAAGTCTTACTTTTCCTATCCACCAGCTACCTTTGCAGTTCCTGTTTGCAAGTAAAAAGAAACCCACATATTTTCTTTAAAGTCATTTTGCAAGCATGTTTCTTCCATTGTTTCCTTACCCAAGGTTCACCCCATGAGTTGCGGACAATCCAGTATTCTGTTCCATTTTCCACCCCCCAACCAGCCACAGATACTATGTGGTTCACCATGGGTGAGGGGTTGTATTCCATATAAAGTCCTCCAGTGTAAGCATCCAACTTTTCAGTAGCCATTATACCACAGCTGTAATAAAACAGAGCAAGCATCTTTATACAGGGAGGTCAAGGGGGAGCCTGGCTAAAAAAAGTAACAATTTTTCCTGTATTTTAACTTCAGAGTTGGTGTAACTACAGCAAGCCAAAATCTGCATATTAGCCACAGCAGCTAACATCTGCCAGAGTCAAGAAGTACACCTTAGTCACAAGACTGAGTTTCTAATATTCAAGTAATACAATTCAAATATTAGCAATAGATAAGTTTTGTTCTTTGTTTTTTAAACTATGCAAGTTTTTTTTTTTTTTCCTTTTACCTAATTGGTCCATTAGTATAGATTTCTGCCATCATTTTTTCCCTTCCACTGACAGAGCCATAGTCAGCAACTTTCCAGAGAGTGTAGTTCTGTATCACATGGCATTCTCCAAAGGTAACGCAAGTTCCACACTGGTTAAACTTCTTACATTCTACAAAGCAAAAGCGAGATCATCACCACAAGAGAATGCTTTTCTTTAAGTGAATGAATGGTACTGCACTGAGCTTTTTTAATTCATTTGAGGCAGGTATTCATAACTTAAGAATAATTACTAATACATGCTTTCTCCAGTGAACTCAATCCCTTTTTCAAAATCACATTGAAGGTCTATACAATCACAAGTTATTATTCCTTACTTCATAGGCACAGGTGCCTTGATGAAGAAATAATTCAAGTTTGCTTCTGTATAAACTATTCCAGTTACACATGAACATACAAAGGTTATGTTTTTGCTTTGTTTAGCTTGAGGTGATGAATCTCCGATAACAGAGATTGTATATCAGAGACATAAGAGATTAAATTTAAGCAACTTAGCTGGTACAGGCCTGTTTGGACATGATTTAATGTTATGCTGTCTAGCTAGAGTTAAAAAAAAAAAAAAAAGACAGAGGCCTGTAAGGAAACCTGTTCTGTCAGTCAAACAACAGTACTACACTGAAAGGCAGGAACCAGTAAATTCAAAACTCAAGGAATTATGACTTCTCTACGTTATGATCTGGCAAACCTGGGCTGAAGCCCTACAGTAAAGCAACTAGGTATCATACTTTGATCCTTAGCTTGGTAGTTGTTACAGGTCTCATCTGGAATGCCGTGGTCGTGGGCATACATCCAAACACCCGTGTGGTCTCCACCTTCACAGGACCCTGCGTTAGCACAATCGATAACGTTCTGGACAGAGAGGTAGGCAGAAGGCCATGCACCTTTCCTCTTTATGTTGATTCGATCTGTAACAATAAGCAATTGGGTCTTGTTAGTTGAAATATTTGGGCTGTTATGCATAGCAACTAGTGTTGAAAGTGTCCCCTTGGTTACTCCTTTAACTGTTTGCAGGCACGAGTATTTGTGGTTGCAAAAGCCTCTGTTATAGATGGTGAGAAACACGCCATGACTTAACTCAAGCGGGCAAGCTCATAGTGTTGTGGGTTTCCATTAGGAGATTTTTCCACTAAAAAATCAGCAAAAACATGCAGTTGAGTAAGATCTGTTTAAACCCTTAAAAGTGCCCTAGGGCTCTTTTAATTCAAGCCATGACTTTTGAAAACTTCCCCATCTGTTTACTAGCCTTGACAGAAAAGAGTTCTCAGATACACATCAGGAAACTAGCTCTCACTATCCTGTTTCACAGAAGTAGAGAGTTCTGTATAAAGTCAGCAGCAGGCCCATGCAGCCTGGGGGTCTGCCTCCGAGATAATCTTTGCAAGCTTTAAGCAAGGAAAAGCTTTCAGAAGCATACCCATACCGTTACGTAAACATACCACAATTAATCCTGCAATCTCGGACAAGTTTCATCATACTGCTGCCTTATTTTGTCTGAAACACTACTAGTTTGGCAGAAAAGCTTCATAATCAGTATTTATATGCTGCTTCTCACAGTGCAGTAACAGGCTTAACCAATGCCACTGGAGTACTTTTAATCCTATTAGTACTAATGACATTCCACTATACTTGATAGAGAACTGGGAGAATGCTCCATATGAATTAACTGGGCATTATCCTCATCTAGTCTTTCAGCAATAACAAAAAGAAAGAATGGATGCTCTAGCTATTCCTTGCAGCTAAGAAAAAACACCCAGATTTTTTTAAATCAACCTTCTGTACTTAAAAAAAAAACATATACATACACACATACATGCAACCTTTAACTTTTAGCCAACGCTAGATAAAACTTAGTAAGTTCTTAAGTATATCTCTTTCCAGTACTCGTTACATCATGGCAGGCTTCATATATGTCTGCACTGTTGTATCGCTTAAGAATGGATCCTTCAGGAGTCCTGCTGCCTCCTCACACACACCTGTGAGGTCTTGTCCCCTTCTGCACTATTTCTTCCCTTCCTCCACACTTCATCCTCTTAACCACCTCCCTATTCCAACAGTGGTTCTGCAGGATGTTACTGAGCCAAAGCAGTTATGTGCAAATCATCATGTATTTTCTCTAGAAAAAAAATACTCTTCCAATTGAAGCAAACCTCTGCTTTCCTTTTCCCAAGGAAAAGGCAACTAGAAAACCATCTGCTGAAATCTGCCCTTACACTGTGGTAGTCAGTTCATTTGACTACCAGAGCTCTGCAAGCTAATGTCCCATAGCCCCTTCTCAAGAGAAGCAGCTCCTTTCATTTCCCCATTGTAGGGTATCACTCAAGTTGCAGAGCAGGAAGGTGTGCCTTGCTGCTTTAAACACGGTGCAGCAAAATGAAGTACCAGCAAAGGGAAGGGAACATGCTGAGTGTCTTTATCTCTGCCCCATCACAGCCCCTCCCGGAGGGGCAGAAACCTCAGTTCTTAACTCCTGGCCCTTAAGAGCAGCTTAGTAGGAGTAATAAATGCATTCCTTCTGCAAACAGCTTTTTGAACAGCTCCAGTATTCCCCCCTTAGCTAATTTTGAGAGGGTGAGGACAGCTTTACTCTGCTTGCTTTTTCTATTGAAACCAAAGCTCCTTGCCTTGAGCTGCCAAGGGTGGGAATTACCATCATTCCTGCAGGTATTCACAAACATCTCCGTGGTCATTGCAGTTTGTACTTTGCACCTCTTCTTCATGTCTTTGTAAGCTGAACACACGCTTCCTTTGCTTACCAAAAGCTAGAAACGCCTGGAGGCGACAGCTTGTCTGATAGGGAAGCTAGCGGAGAGCCCCCAGCACCTCCTCCCGGCCTACCTGCCAGCGCGCTGGTGCTCCCGTGGGCCCAGCAGGAGCCGCAGTACTGCGGGATGTGCTGGTTCCGGGTGGTGCTGGCGTAATTCACTCCGTTAACGTTCCTCCAGTCCCAGCTCTCGGGCAGCTGAGAGACGTCCAGATACTCATGAGGACGGGGGTAGCTCCTGTATCGAGACAACAAGGAGAACTAGTTCCCTTTTTGCCGATTCCTACGTTTCCGAGCAAACAAGAAGAGCTTGTTTTTCCCCCCCCCTCTTTTTCCCCAA